GCTGGGCTCAAGGGGCAGGGGCGGGGCATCAGGGGCTGGGGAAGGGATGTGCGGCAGTGGGGAGACAGCAAGAGGGATGTACAGCACTGTGCGCTCATGGAGCCCCACTCCTCTTCCCAGGTGGACCTGGTTGCCCAGGGCGACAGCATCTATGACATCCTGGACCCAGCCGACCACTTCGTGATGAGGAACCAGCTGGCATTGCCATCGCCCCCTGACACAGGTGAGGGCAGGAGTGGGTGTGGGGCTGGGATTGGGAAGTGGAGGGAGGTGGGGAGGAATGTGTGTGTGGGTGGAGGTATCGGTAGATAGAGAGAGAGAGAGGTAGATGGAGGGAGAAATGATTGCATGGAGGAACAGGCAGAGGGAGCAATGGATGGCTAGATAGACTGATAGATGGATGGATAGCCCAATAGATGAACAGATGGAAGAATGGACAGAGGCATAAAGGAGTGTGTGAATGGACGGATGGAGACAGATGGAGGAGTAGACAGGTGGATGGATAGAGAGATGGGGGAAGGGAGGGGGCTGTGGCCCTGGGCCCATGTCTTACACCCACTTCCTCCCCTACCCTGCAGAGCGCCTGTTCCGGTGCCGGTTCACCACAGCAAAGGCAGCACGGCGCCAGGGCGCAGGCAACAAGCTGGTGCTTCTGCGCGGCCGCTTCCACCCACCCCTGCCGGGGCCTTACTGGGCCTCCAACCCTGTGATCACAGCCTTCGCTGCCCCCCTGGAGCCTGCACCACGCCCTGGTCCCAGCCCTGGCCCTGCTGGCCTGCTTCCAGCTGCCTTCGAGACCTGCCATGCCAAGAACATGGCTCTGCTGGATGCCTCTGACAGGTGAGGGGCCACTAAGAGGGAGGGAACCCAGGCTTCCAGGCTCCCAAACCTCTTCTCCAACCCACTGCCCGCCCCCTCCCCACCCCCCCAAGTGGGAGGGACCCCAAGCATCTGGGCTTCCAGATCCCCTCCTCTAATCTTCCAGCCCCTTCCAGAGCAGAAAGAAAACCCAGGATTCTGGGCTCCCAGTCCCTGTCCCAGAGCTGAGGAAAACCAGGTGTCCAGGATCTCAGCCATCCACATAACCCTCCTTCTCTGGCTGGGAAAGAACCTATGCATCTGGGCTCCTACATCCCTGATCTAATCCCCATCCACAGCCCTGGGAGAAACTAGGTGTCAGGGCTCCCAAATCACCTTGTGCACTTAACTCCCCTTCCAGAGCTGGAGAGAACCCAGGTGTCCTGGCTCCCAGCCCCCCTGCTCTGCCCCGCAGTTCCCATGCCCCTTCCAGTGCATCTGGGCTGGGCTCACATGCTCTCTCCCCCTCCACAGTGTGCTGTTCCATCTGGGCTTTGAGCGGGCTGAGCTCGTGGGGCGCTCATGGTACGGGCTGCTGCACCCTGAGGACCTTGGCCATGCAGCCACCCAGCACTGCCGCCTGCGTAAGTACAGACCCCCTGTCTGGGACATCCCTGCCCCATCCCCATCCTCATCCCCACCACTGGAACCCCCCGACCCACTCTGGGCCCAGGGCAAACCCAGGCATCCGGGCTCTTATCCCCACCCCCTGCTCTAAACCCCCAACCCTTTCCAGAGCAGGGGGAGAATCCAGGCATCCAGGCTTCTAGCCTGCCTGCTGTCACCCTCAGCCCTCAAGCCCTCCCAGAGCTAAAGAGGACCCAGGGGTCTGGGCTCCCAGCCCTCTCTCCTGTCCCAGACCTGGGGAGAACCCAGGCATCCAGGCTCACAGTCCAATCCTCCAGTCCCTTCCATTGTTGGGAGGGATGCCAGACAACCAGGCCCACAGCCCCTCCCAGTTGCCCCCAAAAGTGGGATGGAACCCAGGTGTCCAGGCTGACAGCCCCTGTCCCCTGCAGTGGGCGATGCTGGAGACGGTCCTGTAGAGCTGGTACTGAGGCTGCAGAGCCGAGACGCGCTGCGCTGGGTCTGGGTCTACGTCCTGGCCCGGCCGGATGGCCCCGACCGCCACGTCTCCTGCCACAACTATGTCATCAGGTGAGGGCCACGTGGAAGCCTGGCATCTGGGGAGGGGTGGCAACAGGTGACGGGGGTGCAAGTAGGAGGGTCAGGGGTGGGACTGGGGTGGGCTATGCACAGAACCCAGGTGTCTGGGGCAAGCACAGCATGAAACCCAGGCATCTGGGGTGGGTGGAACAGGGAACCTAGCATCCAGGCCTGACCTCTCTGCCTCTCTCTCCCCACCAGCGAGCCAGAGGCCTGGTGTCTGCGCCAGCAGCTGGCTCTGGAAGACCCTCATGGGGGCTTGGCCCCGGCTCCAACTCCAGCTCCATCTCTGGCTCCAGCTCTTACTTCAGCTCCAGCCTTCCCCGAGGGGCCCATGAGCAGCCCCCCTGCACCCATCTTCAGCCCTCCTGCTGCTCCCTCAGCCTTCGCT